AAGGGAGAGGAGGGGAGGAGCGGTATAAAGGGAACGTTAAAAACAGCAGGGAAATGCTAAATGTACACTAAAATTGAAAAGTGCTCCGCAACCACTGCTGAGCTGACAAAACACCATCTGTTTCGCGTTACACCTATATCTCCACTTTCAAAAGCACGTCTCGTTTTTTCTATAAAAAATAATCATCTTTCCTAATAGCTTAAATATTAGCCATGTGGTTTGCACATGAAAAAATCACAGACAACAAAATGCACACAAACACACATACATACATACGTACATACACACATACATACATACATACACACATAGATACGAATATATAGACATACATACACACACAAATACATATACATACACAAGCACACAGACAGATACATACCTACATAAGCGAATGTACACACAGACACATACGTACACTCACACAAGGGTACGCAAATTTAAACACGTATACAGACACGTTCACAGGTACACAGAATTTTACCAAATTCTTGCTATAGACACTTCAAAGGCACTCATTCTTCTTCGATTTCTGGTAAGATGACAAAAATCCTAGAAGCTAATATACAGTAAAACTAAGGTATGTGATGCTCGCATACATACATACATGTATATATACATACATACATAAATACATACATACATACAAACAAACATACATACACACATATATATATGCATACATATATACATACATACATACACACATACATACATACATACATACATACACAAATACACACATGCATGCATACATACATACATACATACATACATACATACATACATACACACATACACGCACACTTCGAAGTCGCAACACTACAATAGGCGTTTTGTATGAGACTTTCTTATGCCAGCCAAATACACATACCTATAAGCTATACGAGATCTTACAATACAACGGTAGTAAGCAAAGATAATGGAAAAGCTCAATTCCCTCTCCGTCCACGCCCAGAAAAGGGGGAGGGGTTTCCCTTCGTCCAGGATGATTCACACAAAAATCGACGCTGAGACAGCGATTGATGGGTCACACAAGTGATGGGGAAACATGAAAAAATCAAATATTTCTCTACGGAAGAACCAAGAAACAAATAAGTCTCTCAATCCAATGAGGTAGTATTTTCCATTATAGTTATTAGGGAAAAGCCGTCAAATTTAGTGCATTGCAAGGAAGTAGCAACTAGCCTAAATAGTAAGAAAATGAAAAGATACTATGAAAAATATTGAAAAAAAAAGCTAAAAATTGACAAAATGGACGACTGGACTATATATATTCTATATCAGGACACAACTGAAACTTCTAAGGGCGTTGAAGGATACTGCTCATCCGGGTGGTGGCGCAGATTTGGATTTGTAAGAACTAATTTATAACCTCATATCCGAGTCCACTTGAGTAATTTTTGTAGAGCCATCTCATGAAGCAATGTTTCACACATCTTTTGTCATTACAAAGTGGCAAAAATCGAGAAGAGGACAATTCACACAATTCCTCTTTACAAAATCTGGCCAGAATCGAGAAGTGAAGAGAACGAGGAAGTAAAAAAGCCAAAAAAAACCAAAAAAAGAACGAACCAAGTAAAAGAAGTTTGAGTTCGCGTCGAGCATTGCGTTTATCACGTTGCAGTTGCTTCTCAATCTCCTGGTTTATCCGCTTCTGCTCCCTTGCCTCCTCGGAAAGGCAGCAGGCCATGGGGGCCGTTTTGGCGGCTGCCCGTAAAATGAACAGTTTTGCCGCTTTTGCTGCGCAATCGTCGGCCGTCGAATTTACACCGAGCGCACAACGTTACAGTGACGCGCACTCAGCAAAACCAACACAACAAATACAGCTGCTGCTCTGCCGCTGCCAATGCGAAGCTTCAAAATACAAAAAAAAAAGAAAATTTTTGCATAAATTTCTCAGCAATCACGCAAAAAATTGATGGAATATTTTGGAAAAAATGCGACAGATTCTGCGTGGAGGAGAATGCATAACATGTGTAAATGCCCAGCACCAGCAATGCCCAGTGAATCGCACGAATCGTTGGTTTTACCGGAGCAAAATGCCGAAAAAAGTGGGTTTTTACATGTCGAGCACCAGCAGAACA